GTCGGACGCTTAACCGACTGAGCCACCCAGGCGCCCCCATTTAACTTTATTTTATAGGAAACAGTCTAAATGGTAAAAATTGTGAAGCTCTGATAAAGAATCCAGGGTTGCTTCATATTGTCGTTTCACTTCTGAGTGTGCTACTCCTGTGTGTTAAATTAAAACAGTAAATATGGTACAACTATATATATATATATAAATTAAAAAATTTTTTTCAGTGTTTACTTTTGAGAGAGAGAGTGTGAGCAGAGTTGGGGCAGAGGGAGAGGGAGACACAGACTCTGAAGCAGGCTTAACTCATTTGTTCATAATGAGCCACCCAGGGGCCTCAAGACAATAAATGTGGTAGAAATATATTAAAAGGAAGATATAAAATTGGTTATTTGTAGAGGATATGGTTATCTACGTAGAAAGTATGTAACTTACACCTTTTTAGTGAGCTTATCTTGGTTACTGGATATGTAATCAAGACAGAAATCAAATATCGGAAATAATCGGCTAGAAAACTTAATTGAAAATAATCCTGTTTGGGGCGACTGGGTGACTTAGTTGGTTAAGCAACTGACTGGTTCAGGTCATGATCTCGCAGTTCATGAGTTCAAGCCCCACGTCAGGCTCTGTGCTAACAGCTCAGAAAGTAATCCTGTTCATAATATAACAAAAACTAAGGATTTTGAGTAAATCTAATAAAAAGTGTTGGAGACCTTTGTAAACACTAGAGTTGAATGAAGAAACATCCTGTATCTCATTGATTCTCAGATGTATATTATGCTATTTTGATATGGGATATGTCTTGGGCGCCTGGGTGGCCCAGTCAGGTTAAGTGTCCAACTTTGGCTCAAGTCATGATCTTGCGGTTCGTGGGTTCAAGCCTGGCATGGGGCTTTGTGCTGACAGCTCAGAGCCTGGAGCCTGCTTCAGATTCTGTGTGTCTCTCTTTCTCTCTGCCTCTCCCCCACTTGCGCGTTTGCGCTCTCTTCATCTCTCTCTCTCTCTCAAAAATAAACATTAAAAAAAATTAAATTTGAAATGGGATGTGTCTTAACAGTTAATACAGCCATAATTTAGTGAAGTTTTTTTCATACTAGCACATAAAATAGTTAATGTTTAATAATTTATAGCCTACTACATTTTATGGAATATGGTGTATTTATGTAGGGGAAAATTCAATGTTATAAAGGTGCTATTGATACCGTTCTACAAGTGCAATTCAGCCTTTATTTCAACATAAATTTTCTAAGAATTTGGTAAAATTCCAATATTAATGTGAAAGAGCAAGGGGCCCCATATAGCCAGCATAGTCTTAGATTAAAAAAAATAAGTTAAAATTCCTGTCATATATCAAGACATAATGTGAAAATATAGTAATTATGACACAAGTTTCAGCACAAGGACAGTTCGAGAAAAAAACAGAATAAAAAGCCCAGAAACAGAACCCCAGGTATGTGTGGAGACTTGATACATTACATGACAGAAATGGAGAAGGATGGGCCTTTCAACAAATATTGGCATTTGTACATGTGGGAACTAAAGTTTGATCTTCATTTTATACACAAGACTTAGTTCCAGGTGGACTAAAGACCTAAACATCAGTAGCAAAATTTGATTATTTTTAGAGGAGTTTAGAGGAGAATACCTTTGATGCGGGATAGAGAAAGATTTCTTAAGGTACAGTAGGTACAAAATAGAAAGATTTGAATGCATTAAAATTCAAACTTTAAAAAAGAAATTCAACAACTTGGATGACAGGCCATAGACTTGGAAAAGATACTTGTTACTCCTAACCTGAACAGGAATTGCTATCCAGAATTTATAAAGAAATACAGTTTAAATCTAAATAACTAAAGCAATCTCAAAAAGTAGGCAAGGCAGATGAACAGATAGTTTACAGAAGTGTACAGAGACCAGTAAATGTGAAGTTTCATTGCTAGTCTGGTAAATATAAACTAAAACCACAACAAAATGCCATTTTACACCCATTAGTTGGCAGAAATTAATAGGTAAAAATGTAAATGTTGACAATATACAGCAGAGGGAACTTGTGTAGTAGTGATGTAAACTATGTTGGACAGGAGTTTGCTAATATCTGCTAAAGTTGTTGTATGTTTCAACCAGTAATTCAAATCCTAGAGAAACTTGCATATGTGTACAAGAAACTGCACAAGGGTCTTCTCTCCAGAGTTTTAATAATGAAGAATGGGAATCAACCTGAATGTTCATTGACAGAGAAAAATAACATATTATATTCATGCAATGATATTCTTTAAAACTGCTGAAATGAGTAGATCTGTAGATACCAATAAACAAATCTCAGAAGCAATGTTAAGTGAAAAATGTAGGCTACATGGTGATGTAGCTTGGTCGTATTTATGTAAAGTCTAAAAACATTCAGAACATTGCTGAACACGTAATACATGTGGAAACACATGGTAGTGATATAAACTTGAGTGAGTTACCTTTGGAGGAAATGGGGTCAAGGAAGGACACTCATCATAGGCATTCAATATTTATTTATTCATAATTTTTTTGAGTTTATTTTGAGAGCAAGAACATGTGAGTGAGAATGCGGGAGGTGCAGAGAGCAAGGGAGAGAGAAAATCCGTAGTAGGCTCCTTGCTGCTAGCGCAGAGCCCCGTGTGGGGCTCCATCCCCTGAACCATGAGATTATGACCTGAGCCAAAAGCAAGTGTCAGATGCTCAACTGACTGAGCCATCCAGGCGCCCCACATTCAATAAATATTTTACAAAAGCTGTAGGTTTTGATATTTGTCGTATGATACCAGTCATATCGTATCATATTATTCTTCACGAGTTATAAGCAACTGTCATTTAAAAAATATAAACCTAACTGTAGTGAGTATTATGAATATCATCTGTATGGCATTTGATAGTGTATTACTTTGCTAGGGCATCCCTAACAAAATAACACAGACTAGGAGGCTTAAACAATAGAAATTTATTTTCTTATAGTTCTGGTGACTGGGAGTTTTAAGATCAAAGTGTCAGAAGTTTTGTTTTCCCCTGAGGTGTCTCTTGTAGACACTGCTTTCTCTTTGTATCCTCTAAAGACCTTATTTCCAAATATAGTTAACATTCTGAGTTACTTACTAGGGGTTATGACCAACAGGAATTTGGTGGAGGCACTGTTTAGCCTGTAACAGTTTATAAAGCTGTCTCACATATGGCTTCATACTTGTTACAACAGTCCTAGTGAAGTAAGCAGTGGTAGATATGATTCCAGTTTTACAGATAAACAGACTCTGAAAGTCATATGATTAGTGTGTGGCAGAATTAGGACTTCAAATTGATGGTCTGGAGTAGAAAGTCTTTTAACTATTATGCTTATTTTACTGGAGTTGAATTTCTCAGTTTTTAACCTTTGGCACTACATAATGTAGTGTTTTCCAAATTGATAGAAGTTGAGACTTCTCTGGGTCTGTTACATCCTAACATTTCTCTCTCTCTGAATGCAGTTTGAGAAATCCTTGTTTGATGGCTATTGACCTATAGAGTTTTGTTCATTAGTATATATAATAACTTCTCTATGCCAGTTGTGTTTGCTTATAGTTGGATTTATGCTAACGTGCAAGGTGAGAAAAATGCATTAAAATCAAATACATTTCTTGGGGCGCCTGGATGGCTCAGTCGGTTAAGTGTCTGACTTCGGCTCAGGTCATGATCTTGTGGTCTATGAGTTCGAGCCCTGCGCCGGGCTCTGTGCTGACAGCTCAGAGTCTGAAGCTTCGGATTCTGTGTTGCCGCCTCTCTCTGCCCCTCCCATGCTCATGTTCTGTCTGTCTCTGTCTCTCAATAATAAATAAATGCTAAAAAAAAAAAAAAAAAAAAATCAAATACATTTCCTCAGTGACTTTACTGTTAGAATGGAAATAACTTAGATCCTTTGTAGATTCTTAACTCTCAAAACCACTTTGAAACAGTCATTCTATTTTTATCTCATTTTTTTCTAGAATATGACCGAAATAATTCCTATTTTTATTCTTTATTGAGGATTTTGTGATGCCAGTGAATATTACTTTTGTTTATTTGATTGTTTTCCTCACACAGCTGCGGTCTTGTAGTAAGAGTGAGTTGATATCTAAGAGCTCAGAGATCCTCATGATGTTTCAGCAAGTTCATCGGAAGCCCATGGCGTCCTTTGTTACCACTCCTGTTCCACCAGACTTTACCAGGTGCGACATAGTTTTTTAACTTGATTTTCATTTAACGTTTATGTGCATATGCACATGCTTGTTTCAAAAGAATGTTAGTTTTCTTAATTAACTCTATGTGTTTTAAGGTGTTATTTATAATGATGTGGTTTAGTAAACTTTATATACATGTAAATCTGGTTAAAAATTCTGGTGGAGTTACACTTTTGACTGTAAAGAGATGATCTTGAATTAGGAGTTAGTTTCTCCCTGGAGTATCACCTTCTGTAGAAAAAGTAACTGATCCCAATTTAATCACTATCTGTTCATTTTTTTAAATTGGTATATAATTGACATGTAACATATTAGTTCCAAGTGTACAACATAATGATTTGACCTTTTCAAGTATTGGAGAACGATCACAGTAAGTCTAGTTAACATCTGTCACCATAAACAGTTAAAAAACTTTTCTTATAATGAGAACTTTTAAGATCTGTTTTCTTAGCAACTTTAAAATTTGCAGTACAGTTTTGACTATAGTCACCATGCTATCTAGTATATCTCCATGACTTACTTTATAACTAGAAGTGTATACCATCTGATCCCTTTTTTTTTTTTTTTTTTTTTTTTTTTTTTTTTTTTTTTTTTTTTTTTAGTATGTGTCTTTCTCTGACTTATGTAGCATAATGCCCTCAAGGTCCATCCATGATGCAGTATGGTCATTCTTTTATTTACCTTTTGAATTTAATTTATATCTCATTGTTTACATATATGTTGCCAGAAACAGAACTCAGAATATGGATGAAATGCCAGAAGATTCTGAAGGTGACATATGTTACCTCCAGATCCTAAAAGGTGGTGGGAGGAAACAGCTGGTTGTGTTCTATGCATCTTTTAGTTTTTGTCTTGGGCAGTCTTAGAATCCTTTTGAACCAGCATATTCTTTCAAGCATGTTTGCACTGTGGTGTTAGACCAGTGGTTCTTGACATTAGTTGTATGTTAGACTCAGTTGGGATTCTATTGAAAATTACCAATGCTGGTTCATACCTCAGGTCATTTGAAATAAAATCTCTGCAGATAGATTAGTCTGCTTGAACAGCCATAACAAAATAACACAGATTGGGTGGTTTCTACTACAGAAGTTTATTCTCTTATAGTTCTGGATGTAAGAAGTATGAGATCAAGGTGCTAGGAAATCTGATTTCTGATGAGGCTTCTTGCTTGCTTACAGCCTTCTCCCTGTGTCCTCACAAGACCTTTCCTCTCAAGCACAGAGATCAGTGTCTGGTATCTTTTTCTCTTCTAAGGACACGAGCTTTATTGAGTTAGGGTCCTTCCCACCCTTATGACCTCAGGTAATCTTAATTACCTCCTTTTAGTTTTTATCTTGGGTAGTCTTAGAATTCTTTTGAACAGCATATTCTTTCAAGCATTTTTGCCCTGTAGTGTTAGAGCAATGGTTTCTTGCATTAGCTGTATATTAGATTCATTTGGGATTCTTTTGGAAAGGTCCTGTCTCCAAATACATTGGGGATTAGAGCCTCCACATACAAATTTTGGGGGACACAGATGGTCCATAACATTGGGTGCAAATAAGCATTTGTATTTTGTTCATTTAAAATCTCCTTAGTTGGTTCCTAAGAAGAGAGGTTAAACCACTGCCTCAGATAAAAATGTTGGTATGGCAGATTTTAGTCCATCTTAGACTTTAAAGATGGCTTTGAAATACTGCCACATGTTTAGTATGTTGAAGGCTGTGTTACCTAAAGGAAATAGCCTTTGTTTTAAAAATGTATAATTGTTTTTTCTTTTTTCTCTGATATGTGGTGCCCTCTGATGGCCACAGGGCATTGATGGTACTCAACTGAATAGTGCAAGCCAGGGTTTTTCAACCTTGACATTGTTGATCAGGATAATTTTCTGTGGGGTTGAGGGAGCTTTGTTGTTTATTGTGGGATGTTTAGCAGTGTCCCAGTAGCACATGTTCCTTTATAGTTGTGATGAAAATATTTCCAGACATTGCCAAATGCTTCCTAGGAGTAAAACTGCCCCTGGTTTAGAATTTCTGGTGTAAGCCCTTGTTCCTCATCACAGATGCATTCCTGAGGATTATCACCACCCATAGTCCTATAAACAGAAGGGTAAAAAGTTCTTTTGACAGCCAGAACTCGGGTAGATCTCACTGACTATTAAGTCTTCATTTCTCTCTGAATTAACAAGCCAGATATAATATTCCTATTTTAATCAAGAACTGAATATTACTAAAAGTACTTGGTATTTGCTATCCTTAAGTAGATTAGGTGAACTAAGGATGTTCACCAATATCGAAAGGCTGCCTCTTTGATAACATGGTCAGTCATTTCAGTTTTGAAGAATACCTTTTTGGAACCATCCATCACCGCGGAATGAAACGTAAGTTTTGATGTAAATTAAAGGTAAATGTTTTCAATTCAAAGTATAGTGCATGGATCACATATCAAAGCCAGCTCTGGAGTGTTTGTCCATAATGCAAATTCCCAAGCCTATTGCCTGGCAATATTTGGAGGTGATGTCTAGATAATGAATCTTGGGCATCCTGAGTAATTCTGTCCTCAATTTTGGGAACCACAAATATGGGTAAACTCCTATGCTGATACTACTTGCAGTGTCTCATTAGGCAGGCACCTCTGCTTTAGATTTCTTGTCAATCTCTCTTACATCCAGTGATTGTTTTGCTTTCTGTTCCCTAACTGCCTAAGTGGCTCAGAACCCCAACAGTCCCTTTTCATTATCTTGGTTTTTTTGGTATAGATAGAAGGGACTGAAATTGGGAGGGCAGGGAGCAAGGGAGGCAGGTAGGAGGGACATCAAAGAGGAAACGACCAAAAAAAATTTTTTTAAGTATGACAAATTAAGGAGCTTTCCATAGATAAAGTTCACCTTAGGACCCTTTCTTTCCCAAATAATGCTTATTTACTGCCTTACTGGACATTTTGGCTTGTAGCTTTGTTGACGTTAAGTTACAGATCAAATTTAGATGTACAAAGGCAGTGGTGAATGTTTCTAAGCTTTGAGATCTTAGGACTGGATTGCCTTAAGTTCCATCAGTTGATTTGTGATGGAGCCACAATGGAGAATAAAAAGTCATTGAACAAGTGCGGTGTTATTTATTAAAGACTATATGTTCAGCACTATTGTGCTACACAGGAGAGAAGAAGAAAAACTAATAATCTTACTGGGTGTATATTCCATATTAAATAGTATAGAATTATATATTAAAATCTAGTATTTCGTAATCAATTACAATTGATCTTTGAACAGTGTGGGTCAGCTGTATAATGCATCCTGTTTAATGCTGCCACATAGCACTAATTTGTTAACAATGTTATTTTTCAAAAAGTTTCCCTAAAAATTATACATGTATAGGAGTACATCACAATACCCTGGGATTGATAGAGGTTTTCTGTGCTCTGAATGTGATCATTTTCTCTTGCAAGTGACAGCTTGGGCACATCATACTATACTCTCTTGGTCAGTGAGCTTTAGTGATCTATTTTAGCTCTTTAGCTCCTAAGCTTTCCACTCCACTGTTCTGAGTTAAACGTATTATCTCCTTCTCTTATTTATTTTGTGTTTTGGTATTTATGTATGTATGTATGTATGTACGTATGTATGTATGTTTGGTTATTTATTTATTTAACCTCCAAGTTAGTTAGCATATAGTGCAATAATGATTTCAAGAGTAGATTCCAATGATTCATCCCCTACGTATAACACCCAGTGCTCATTCCAAAAAGTGTCTTCCTTAATGCCCCTTACCCATTTAGCTCATCCCCGCCCCCACCTACAACCCTCCAGCAACCTTCAGTTTGTTCTCTGTATTTGAGTGTCTTATGTTTTGTCCCGCTTCTTGTTTTTATATGATTTTTGCTTCCCTTCCCTTATGTTCATCTGTTTTGTATCTTAAATTCCACATATGGGTGAAGTCATACAATACTTGTCTTTGACTAATTTCGCTTAGCATAATACCCTCTAGTTCCTCCATGTTGTTGCAAATAGCAAGATTTCATTCTTTTTGATTGCTGCATAATTAATACTCCATTGTATATATATACCATATATACCATATCTTCTTTATCCCTTCCTCTGTTGATGGATATTTGGGCTCTTTCCATACTTTGGCTATTGTTGATAGTGCTGCTATAAACATTGGGGTGCATGTGCCCCACTGAAACAGCACACCTATATCCCTTGGATAAATAGTAGTGCAATTGCTGGGTCATAGGGTAGTTCCATTTTTAACTTTTTGAAGAACCTCCAGACTGTTTTCCAGAGGGCTGCACCAGTTTGCATTCCCACTCACAGTGCAAAAGAGATCCTCTTTCTCCACATCCTCGCCAACCTCTGTTGTTGCCTGAGTTGTTAATTTTAGCCATTCTGACAGGTGTGAGGTGGTATCTCTGTGGTTTTAATTTGTGTTTCCCTGATGATGAGTGATGTGGAGCATCTTTCATGTGTCTATTAGCCATCTGGATGTCTTCTTTGGAAAAGTGTTCATGTCTTTTATCTATTTCTTCACTGAATTATTCGTATTTTGGGTGTTGAGTTTGATAAGTTCTTTATTGATTTTGGATACTAACCCGCTATCCGAAATGTCATTTGCAAATATCTTCTCCCATTCTAGCAGTGGCCTTTTAGTTTTGTGGTGAACTCTTTTGACCCTTAATGGCTAACAAAAATATGACAAAATAATAGTTTGGTCTTCCAGCCAAAACAACAAAGGAAATGTATAGCACTGGATGTTAAGGATATGGTGGAAAAAGCGTTATGAAAGATGTTATGAATTTGGTGGGAGAACGAACTAACGCTGGTATGATTGGAACTTGCATGAAATTATAAACAAAAGCATGTCATGACTTGACCAAATTTGGAAACTGTCCTGGAGACATTTCCTTGAAGCTCTGATTAGGTTTGTGGTTCCAGGTAGGCTTTCTAGGTACTGCTTACATTCATTCTACTAATTGGGGTTTGGTATACTGAATGTGCGGAAACATAATGGAGAGAAGTTAGAGCAGACGTTCAATGGACCGTGACTTCTAATCTGTTACTTGAAAGAATAGTAAAGATTAACGAGGCAAACATCTGGGAGTGAGGAATATGAGTGTTTTAAGAAAAGGTAACAGCTGCCTTGGAATATGGTTAGGGGTGTTTGACGGTAGGATAGTAGCTATATAGTTAACTATTGCAGGGCAAACCCCATACTTATGTGAAAAAGATATGAGCTATTTAGCTACATACTTACCATAAAATAAAAAATAATATATTTTTAAATCTATGCTGTGTTTTCACTGGCAAACCACTAATTTCTTTAGGCACTATCACAGTGTGAAAGTGCTGTAGATGTTATCATATATTTTATTTTGGTAATAATGAATTTTCATGAATTAAACTTTAGAAGATATATCTGAGGATACAGTGAAATGGCTTGCAGTTTATCTTTTCGGTAAATTTATAATTTTATTAATTTTATTTATTAAAAACATTTTTTTAAATGTTTATTTAGTTTTGAGACAGAGAGAGACAGAGCATGAGTGGGGGAGGGACAGAGAGAGAGGGAGACACATAATCAGAAGCAGGCTCCAGGCTCTGAGCTGTCAGCACAGAGTCCGACGTGGGGCTCAAACTCACAAACCGTGAGATCATGACCTGAGCCGAAGTCGGTTGCTCACCCTGAGCCACCCAGGCGCCTCTATAATTTTATTTATTAAATACAGAATATTTTATGTTATACTGTATATGATAGTGTCTTTATCATAAATGTTTTATTGACTGACTTTTGAAGTGTTTGAATGACAGTACTGTAGACTGTTCACATATCTAAGGGTATATCCTGTGGTTGTGTTGTAGTTTAGTTCTCTTTAGAGAAGAATGTATGGAACTAAAGTTAAGTTGCCTGAGGTAATCTTGCCTTGCCAAGAAATTGTTGCTTATCCACTCTATTTGCCCCTAGGTGATTATGTATTCTTATTCCATAAAATGGTATTTCCAAGTTAATATTCTTAAAATATTTAAGGTCATCAATATTCCTCGTAATTTGTTTTAGAGACTGAAGTTGGGGATTTATTGTGATGTCTTTTGCTGTTTCTTTTGTTTTTTTCTAAACTTCCTTATATCTGTTTCATATTTTAGGTTCCCGACTTAAGCACCCTTCCTTTTCCTATTTCCATGAGTAGTTTTGAGAGTCTCTTATGCTTATTTTAATGCTTACTTGTTGCTTCTCAAAAAGCCCAACTATTTTATAAACTATTTGTTGAGTCTCCAATTTAATTGAAAACTTTTGATGTTAGCTTTTGATGGTTTTACAAATTCATTTGGTTTAATATCCGTATTTAGTAAGGATTGAAAAATATTTCTTAGGGACTTAGTTTAAAAACATTTTAAAGATATTACTGAGGGACTTTGTTTTTTAATTAAATGAAATTTTAAACTTAAATAATTATTTTACCTTTTGCTTCTTTTTAGTGAATTAGTACCATCTTATGATTCAGCTACTTTTGTTTTAGAGAATTTCAGGTAAGAGTTTTTGACTACTGAGATTTGTTTTGTATGTCTACCTAAGTAAGAGCCAGGAAGTATCATTCTTGGGTAGAATACAGAACAAGGATCTGTGTCACTCAGTGTGTAATCTTAGAAGAAGCAAGTTTCATATTAGAAACATATAGGTCATTTGTCTGGATTGTATTTTATCTTCAGGACAGATTGCTTCTCTATCTAGTCTCGGAAAAGAAACCATTTTTTTTTTTTAATTTTTTTTTTTTTCAACGTTTATTTATTTTTGGGACAGAGAGAGACAGAGCATGAACGGGGGAGGAGCAGAGAGAGAGGGAGACACAGAATCGGAAACAGGCTCCAGGCTCTGAGCCATCAGCCCAGAGCCTGACGCGGGGCTCGAACTCACGGACCGCGAGATTGTGACCTGGCTGAAGTCGGACGCCTAACCGACTGCGCCACCCAGGCGCCCCGAAACCATTGTTTTTAAAGAAGAGGGTCCACTTAGCCTTTGCTAAGGTGGGGCGAATGGGATTATTAAGGTCAATGACCATCCCCCCATCCTTGGAAGTCGATTTGAGTCCATTTATCTTAGCTGGAAGTGAGAAATTGTAAATGAGAGGCCATTGTCATAAGAAATTTTATGCTTTGTAACTTGCATGTTACTTTGTTAGCTTTTACTACTTTTTCTTGAAGATTGGAAACAAAGATCTTAAAACGCTGAGGTCTTAAAGGGACTTGTTTTCAAAGACAGTTTGGAAATGGGGAACCATGAAATAAAAGGCCTTGCCTTGGGGAGAGAAATTCTAGGAGGTGATAACCATCACCAAAGGCCAAAGTTTGAGGATTAATACCTCTTTCTTTCCTTTCTTTCTCTCTCTCTCTCTCTTTCTCTTTCTCTCTTTATCTCTCTTTCTTTTGAGAGATATATAGAGAGAGAGAGAGCACGTGAGCACCTAAGCAGGGGAGAAGCAGAGAGAGAGAATCTTAAGCAGGCTCCATGCTCGGTGTAGAGCCTAACGCAGGGCTTGATTTCACGTCCTTGAGATCCTGGCCCGAGTCAAATTCAAGAATTGGATGCCTAACCGACTGGGCCACGCAGTGGCACAGTGGGGGCTGGAGCGCCCTCCTCCATCTGTCTTTTCTTATGGGATAATTTTTTGGCTAAAATACAAACTTTCTGAGGATATCCCCACATATGTTAAGATTAAGCATATTTCTTAAGTTTTTCCATATTAGAAAAGGATAATTGTACTACAGCTATGTGAGGAAGAAGCCCATTGGGTTTTTTCTCTAATGGTAAAAGACTGCTTGTTGAAGTGGTAATTAAATTCAGGACACTTAGTTTTATTTTTCTTTATATTTTCCTTTTCCCTTGAATGTCCTAATTTTGAAACTGAAAAGATACTGCTGAATATTTCAGTATCATTAAACCTTATTTCAGAATGTAAGTATATATAAATTTATGCAGTGGAGTCTTGACTTGTTCAGCACCTTCATTTACTTGTTTAGGACTGCAAATAAGTAACATAAGTAAAGTGCTTAGAGTTTGGTTTTGCCTGTTGATATTTCACAACAGTTTTGATCTTGGGATTTGGTTGGTTTTCTTTTACTTCAGCACTTTGCGCCAGCGAGCAGACCCTGTTTACAGTCCACCTCTTCAAGTTTCAGGACTTTGTTGGAGGTTAAAAGTTTACCCAGTAAGTTTTTCATATTTCTAATGAATTTTGAAACCAGGGTCTTTCTTTCAGTGTTCTGTAGCACAGTGGTTCACTTTTATGTTTAATTTGACAATTTCATTTACTTTATTAAGCAATTCATGAATCAGGCAATATCCCATCTAACAGATATAAAGATGCTCCCTGGTTCACTTTTCTTAGTGGAGTAAAGAGTTAAAGTAATGACAATATTACGGTTTTTTTATAGGGTAGATTACTAAGCCTACCAAAAAAATGAGTTAAAATGAACAGTATAAACCTTGACATTACATGAATTTTATTTCTTATTTCCAGGAAGATATTTATCTTTAGACGAAATATTTAAAATTCTTATTTTAGATATCATTTTTTAAATAAAAATAAATTATTGATACAGAAAGCCATAAAAAAATACATGTATGCTGATTGCATACTCATGGTGCATTTCAGTGTGTTCCTTTGACCTAGGAATTTTCTGCAAATTGGCAGCTGGATGCAGTGACATGATGAGAGATATATAGTTGCTTCCTATGGCAACAGTATAAGTAGTAGTGTGTTCTTTTATCACACCATGTCTAGTTGCATCTCTTATTGTGATATCGGCAGCTATCGATGTTCATTGCCTACATCTGTTAATTCATTGGAAGTTGTAAAATAGTGATATTCTCATTTTATTGTTTTTCATTTATTTGTAATAACTTTTATAAAGATACGCTTCTAAGAGATGCTTCCCGTTATCTGTTATTTGGCTACCCATGGTTATAGTTTATAAAGAAGAAACAATTTTTTCCTGTTATTTACTAGTTATCCTTAGTATTTTCTGGAAGTGATCAATTAGGTTTTTAAAAATGTCATTATGAATTCATGGATTTATACATATGTAATGTCTTTAAGTTAGCTTCTGTGTCACTTTGCTCTGACTCTAAAAGTCCCTAGTAGTGATTCTTAGGAGTTGGCTTTCTTATTCTCATATTTATGGCAAGATGTTCTAGGCTCATTATGTACATTTCCTACTCCATATCTGGAGTCAGCCATTTTATTCAAAGAGTCCTGATTCCTTTTAGTGGGAAGTGATATTTCAAGACCAAACTGAGTGCTAGGGATGCTTATTTTTATGAGGTTGGTCACAGTTTCTAACCTCCTTGGTGAAGGGAGCTAGGAAATACAGTGATAAATATGTTAGATGTTTGGAAAGGGGGAAATCTGTATTTATTTATTTATTTAAAATTTATTAATAGACTTTATTTTTTAGAGCAGTTTTGAGTTAAACATCAAAATTGAGTAAAAAGTAAAGAGAGTTTCATATGCCCCCTGACCCCACACGTGTACATGCTCCTCCATTATCAACATATCTTGCCCCAGAGTGGTACATTTGTTACAGTTGATGAACTCCTATTGACACATTATTATCCAAAGTTCTAGTTTACATTAGAGTTCATTATTGATACACATTATAGGGGTTTTTTGTTGTTGTTATGTTGTTTTTAGGCCAAAGAATATAATTCGAGAAAACTGGGTAGGAGTATGGATAAAATTGAATTGGATAAGCTCCAGGGATCTCAGTAGACAAAATATATTTATGAACACTTTAAAATTGCTATATAATTAAATACTGGGTTTTTTTTTGATATATGTATTTTTTTAAAGATAAAATAACTCATGAGTCAGTGCTTACATTTATAATTCAAGTTCAAGACTGTGGAGTGTTTTTACTTAATCTCTTTATATTACACCTGTGTCTCCTTCCATTTTAGTAATCCCTTTTTTAAAAATTATTATGTATGTATATTTTTTTAAATTTACATTCAAGTTAGTGTATAGTGCAATAATGATTTCAGGAGTAGAATCCAGTGATTCATCCCCTACTTATAATACCCAGTGCTCATCCCAGGTGTCTTCCTTAATGGCCCTTGTACATTTAGCCCATCTCCCCACCCACAACCCCACCAAGCGCGCACAGTTTGTTCTCTGTATTTAAGAGTCTCTTATGTTTTGCTCCCCTCTCTGCTTTTATATTATTTTTGCTTCTCTTCCTTTATGTTCATCTGTTTTGTATCTTAAATTCCATGTATGAGTGAAGTCATATATTTGTCTTTCTCTAATTTTGCTTAGCATAATACACTCTAGTTCCATCCACGTTGTTGCAAATGGCAAGATTTCATTCTTTTTGATTGTTGAGTAATACTCCACTACATACACACACACACACACACACACACACACACACACACACACACCCGCATCTTCTTTATCCATTCATCTGTCGATGGACATTTGGGCTCTTTCCATGCTTTGGCTATTGTCGATAGCACTGCTGTAAACATTGGGGTGCATGTGCTCCTTCAAAACAGCATACCTGAATCCTTTGTATAAATACCTAGAGGAATCCTACCTCTTGAAGCCTTTGGAAATTATATAACCAATCACTCATCTGCTTTATTTCATCTTATAGACAGAAATATTTCAGGATAGGAAGTCCTAATTCTACCATCAATTTGATTACAGAGAACTAACTGCTTTTGTTTATATTTTTTTGTTTATACTCCATGTTTCCCACACCCCTTCCCCACTTTCTGCCATATTAAGTAGGAGTTTTGATGTCCGAATCTTATTCTCTAGTAGATTCTACTGGAACAGCTAGTGGAAACAATATTCCCTGACTTTATATTTTGAAAAGTTTGTATTTATATACTCTAAAGCCAGTATTGCTGGATATAAAATCCATAGCTTGTATTTTCTATCATTGGGTATCTTAAATGTTTAATTCCATTTTCCATTAGGTAAAATCTGATTATAAACTAATTCTTAAAAGCATTCAGTGATATGGACTAAATGCCCAAATTTGTTTGTTTAAGTCCAGTAATTTACTATTATGTGTTTGGTTGTTTTGAGTCATATGCTGGTGTCTTTCAGTATGTAGATTTAGATCTTTTTTGTTTTTCTTTTTTAATGTTTTTTATTTATTTTTGAGAGGCAGAGAGAGACAGAGCATGAGCAGGGGAGGGGCAGAGATAGAGGGATTCACAGAATCTGAAGCAGGCTCCAGGCTCAGAGCTGTCAGCACAGAGCCCAGTGTGGGGCTTGAGCCCACAAACCGAGAGATGATGACCTGAGTCAAAGTTGACACTTAACCAACTGAACCACCTAGGCGTCCCATCTTTTTTTCCCCCTAAGAAAATATTTCCTGAATTCTAGTTTTAAGTATTTATTATGTTTTTTTCTCTGTTTTTTTCTTGGGACTTGGTGTATTATCTGTATTTTGAGATTTCTTTTCCTGTCTTCAGTATTTATCACTTTCTACTCTTATGAGCTTTTCATTTCTTATTCATTCACTCATTCATTTTTTTCTATTTTTATTTATTTATTTTTAATTTATTTTTTTTAACATTTATTCATTTTTGAGAGACAGAGACAGAGCATGAGCGGGGAAGGGGCAGAGAGAGGGAGACACAGAATCTGAAGCAGGCTCCAGGCTCTGAGCTGTCAGCACAGAGTCCGACATGGGGCTCGAACTCATGAACTGTGAGATCATGACCTGAGCTGAAGTCGGATGCTCAACCAGCTGAGCCACCCAAGCGCCCCTCGTTCATTTATTTTAAAGTTTATTTATTTTGAGTGAGTGAGTGCATAATTGGGGGGGAAGGGTAGTCAGAGGGAGAGACAGAATCCCAAGTAAGCCCTATGTTGTCAGCACAGAGCCTGACACAGGGCTCAAACTCATGAACCATGAGAACATGACTTGAGCCAAGATCAAGAATCAGACGCTTAGGGGCGCCTGGGTGGCGCAGTCGGTTAAGCGTCCGACTTCAGCCAGGTCACGATCTCGCGGTCCGTGAGTTCGAGCCCCGCGTCAGGCTCTGGGCTGATGGCTCAGAGCCTGGAGCCTGTTTCCGATTCTGTGTCTCCCTCTCTCTCTGCCCCTCCCCCGTTCATGCTCTGTCTCTCTCTGTCCCAAAAATAAATAAACGTTGAAAAAAAAAAATTAAAAAAAAAAAAAAAAGAATCAGACGCTTAACTGACTGAGCCACCCAGATGCTCCTCTTTTTCATTTAAAAAATTTTCCTTAGTTCACTTACAAGATCTGTTTTGTTTATTTGCTCTCATGTTCTTTTTAGTTCAGTGATTATTTCTTAAATAACTTTTTCTTTTATTTCTAATTCTTTCCTTAGTTTTATCACCTGATTTCTGAGTGTTTCTAATTCTGGTATGTTACTCTTTTATGTCCTATTCGTATTTGTTTATTTTTTTTTTCCTTCTGCAGGTTGTCATACTGTTTTCTTAGTGTCATGGATTGTTTTGAAATGGGTTACAATTTTGATCTACTCTTTGAGTATGTTTTTCAAGAATTTTCATTATAAGGATGTTATTCTCTTTTTTTACTTTGGCAAATAGTGCTTAACACTGAATTTGCCATCTTAATCATTTCTAGGTGTACATGTAGTATTGTTAAGTGTATACACGTGTTGTGCAGCAAATCTCCAGAACTTTTTTTACATCTTTCAGAACTGAAGCTCTCTGCTCATTAAATGATAACTCCCCCTTTCTCCTCCCCCTCAGTTTGGTAACCACCATTAAACCTTTTGTTTCTGTGAATTTGACTGCTCTAGAGATATCATATATGTGGAATCATACAGTATTTGTCTTTTTGTGACTGGCTTCTTACATAATGTCCTCAAAGTTGATCCATTTTGTGGCTTGTGTCTGAATTCTCTTTTTAAGGCTGAACAACATCCAGTGTGTATACCACACATCGTTTATACCACACATCGTTTATACCACACATTGTTTATCCATTCATCTGTTGATTGGCACTTGGGTTGCTTCTACCTCTTGGCTCTAGTGAATAGTGCTACTGTGAACATGGGTGTGCAAATATCTTCTCAAGATGTTGCTTTCAGTTCTTTCGGCTATGTACCTAGAAGTGGTATTGCTAAATCAAATGATAATTCTGTTTTTAATTTGTTGAGGAACCTCTACACTGTTTTCTGCAGGAACTACCCCATTTTATACTCTCAGTGATGCGCAAGGGTTCCAGTTTCTCCCTATCTTTGTCAGTACTTGTTTTCTGCTTTGATAGTAGCCATCCTGATGAGAATGAGGTAGTAGTTTGGTTTCAGTTTGCATTTCTTTAATGACTAGTAATATTGAGCATCTTATGCCTGTTGACCATTTGTACATCCTGTTCAGAGAAATGTGTACTCAAGTCCTTTGCCCATTTGAAAATTTTGTTGTTGGTGTTGAGTTGTAGGAATTTATATATTCTGGATATTAACCCCTTATTAGGGGTTATGATTACACATATTTATTAGATGTATAATTTATACATATTATCTCCTATTCTGTAAGTTTCTTTTTATTCTTTTAGCATTTCATGTGCAGAAGTTTTAAATTTTGATGTGGTTAAATTTATGTTTTTGCTTTTGGTTTCACAGCCAGGAAATCTTTACCAAATTTAATGTCATAAAGCTTTTTTCTTATGTTTTATTTTAATAGTTTTATAGTTTTAGAATTTACGTTTACAACTTTAATCTATTTTGAGTTAATTTTTGTACATGAAGTAGGGACCCGATTTCATTTGTATGTGGATATCCAGTGTCATAAGGCAATCAAAAATAAATATGGTGCCTTGCTTTCTGAGAGATGTCCTGGCTCTGCCCTTCTCCTTCCTTTGTTTTTATTATTTCTCCGCTGTTTATTTTTTATTTCACTCCTAGCACTTTCTATGTAATCTCGGGAGTTATCATGAAAGGCCCTATACATTCGTTTATAATAAGAATAAGAACTTATAAGTGTATAAAATTTAGAGTGACTTAACTGCATTTAATTCTCAGACTTGTTAATGTTAGGCATCCTTGTACTCAGTTCATAATCTGTTGAGCAGCTCATTCCATTTTCAGTTGTCTGTATTTGGCTTGTGAGGCTTTTCAGTGGCCAACTCTTTGCCATTTTGTGCTTTTTCCTGTTTTTTGTTTCATTAGATGTCCTACAGCTTCCCTCTCTTTTCTCCCATAAAGATGTATATATCATACAGGTCTTAATGGCTGTAACTGATATATCTTTATTTGCTTATATTTTTGGGGTTGTGGAGATAACCTTTTATCTAGTTTTGTTGTAAATATTGTTTGTGAGCTTTTGGATTTTCTGTCCAATTATGTGTTTTGTTTTGTTTTCTGTTTGGATTTAGAGAGTTGCATAAACTATGTTGCCATTGCTGCAATCTTTCCAGAATCCTGTGTTGAAAAATCTTAAAGCTAGTATTTTGTTGGAAGTGCAGCTGGCATGTACTTAGGATACTAAAACATTTTCCTTAAAATTATGATTAAAATTAAAAAGATTTCTAATATTGTTAGCTGATAAAGATCAGGAGTAAAAAAATTCCTTTTTATTAAAAAATTTTTTTAACATTTATTTATTATTGAGAGACAAAGAGACACAGAGCATGAGCAGGGGAGGGGTGGAGAGAGGGGAGACACAGAATCCGAAGTAGGCTCCAGGCTCTGAGCTATCAGCACAGAGCCTGACTTGGGCTTGAAGTCACGAACTGTGAGATCATGACCTGAGCCCAAGCCAGTTGCCTAACCATCTGAGCCACCCAGGCGCCCCTATTCCTTTTTATTAATTTATTCCAGGGAAATAGTTCTAGGAGCATAATTTAGAGATTTTTAAAAAAATGTTTATTTGTTCATTTTTGAGAGAAAGAGATACAGACCAAGCAGGGGAGGGTGAGAGAGAGAGAGAACGAGAACCCCAAGCAGGCTCCATACTGTCAGCACAGAGCCCTATGCAGGGCCCAAACTCACAAACTGTGAGATCATGACCTGAACCAAAACCAAGAGTCATGCTTCACCGACTGAGCCACCCAGCTGCCCCTCTTGGAGCATAATTTAAAAAAAGAAAAGAATCTGGCCATTTGAACAAGGATATTGATAGATTTTTTAAAATAAATATAATTTGAGATAAATTTATATTCAATAAAATTTACTAATTTTGGCAAGTTTCCACAAATATGTATAGTCAAATAATTATTACCACACCGTGATTTTTATTAACCCCCCAGTTTTCTCATTTGTTTTTTAAGCTGATCCCTTCTTTCTTCCTTCCTGGCCCCTCTGCAACCACTGATGTGTTTTTTTCACTATAGTTTTACTTTGCATAATTTCATATAATGGGATCATACAATACATAATTTTTTGTATCTCATTTTTTTCACTTAACTGATAATTCATTTATTCTTTACTGTGTATTGAGCATTTACCTCCTTTTACCCTGAAAGTTTCCTCAGGATCTTTTGAAGCATAGTAGCCCAGAAATGAAGGGGTTAGTAAGTACTTGTACTCCTCCATAGTCATATCCCAGTAGACACTGGAGATGAATAATAAGAATCCTTCCTTCAGTCCTCACAGTCTGGTTGGGAAAACATGTTTATATATGTAATTACAACAGTGATAGTCATTTAGAAAGGTAGACACGTGAGCAAAATACTGGAGAAATAGAGAAGGAAGTTATTATCTTTGTAATAATCTCTGTAATACAAATTTAAACAACTTCTTAATCTTCAGACAGACTGTTATATGGAATGCTAACATATAAACATTATATAGAAATTATATTTAATTACTTTCAACATCAAGTGTTATCTTTTCCTGTTTTACTCACTTTTGGTTTTAAATATTTTTTGTCTCCTACCCAGTAAAGTTGAGGTTTTTTTCGTATTTGATGTGTTCATTTTTCACGGAGGCTGATATTTAAGAGTTTTGTGTATGTTAGAACTCCTTCTTTTTGTATGTTAGAATTCTTAACTCTTTTTTAAAAACTTTTTTTAATGTTTTATTTATTTTTGAGGGAGAGAGACAGAGTGTGAGTTGGGGTTGGGGCAGAGAGAGAGGGAAACACAGAATCCGAAGCAGGCTACAGGCTCTGAGCTGTCAGCACAGAGCCCTACATGGGGCTTGAACTCACGAACGGCAAGATTGTGACCTGAGCTGAAATCATTCACTTAACCAACTGCGCCACCCAGGTGCCCCTAGAATTCTTAACTTTTATCATAGTTGTTGACATTTTTCTTAGTTTGAATGCCTATATATTTTCCATTTTCTTTTTTAATGTACAAAAGATTTAAATTATTAGAGATGTAAATCTGTTGGTCTTTTTATCTGTGTTACTGCTTTAATCGTAGAAGTATTTCCCAATCCAAATATGAGATATTAATGTTTGCTTCGTTGTTGCTTAAATTTTTACATTTGAGTTATCTAGAGTTTGTATTTGTATAACATCTCTCTCTCTTTCTCTTTAATTATTGATGTATAGTTGACTCTTCTTCCTTTTTTTAAGGATGGAAATGGAGTCGTTCGTGGTTACTACTTATCTGTGTTTCTGGAACTGTCAGCTGGCTTGCCTGAAACTTCCAAGTAAGACATGCAATTAAATAACAAACATTATTTTTTTTTTCAACGTTTTTATTTATTTTTGGGACAGAGAGAGACAAAGTATGAACAGGGAGGGGCAGAGAGAGAGGGAGACACAGAATCGGAAACAGGCTCCAGGCTCCGAGCCATCAGCCCAGAGCCTGACGCAGGACTCGAACTCCCGGACCGCGAGATCGTGACCTGGCTTAAGTCGGACACTTAACCGACTGCGCCACCCAGGCGCCCCAAATAACAAACTTTAATGTGTGTTTATATGCATTCCTCTTAGGATTTTTTAACTTTTGTTAGTTACTGTATTGTTGTATCTGTTAAGATGTGTACTAGTATGGAATCCCTGGCATAGTATAGCACACACTGGCAGTTCTTTCTTTTTTTTTTTAATGTTTATTTATTTTTGAGAGTGAGGGAGAGCACACATGAAGGGGGAGGGGCAGAGAGAGGTGGACAGAGGATCTGAAGTGGGCTCTGCACTGACAGCAGTGGGGCTCATACTCATGAACTGTGGGATCACAAACTGGCAGTTCTAAAACTGCCTCAGGAATACTCCTCTTTTTTTTTTTAACCCAATTTTTTTTAATTAAAAAAATTTCTAAATTTCTTTTTTGAGGGAGAGAGAGAGAAAAGTGGGGCTCATCCTAAGCAGAGCTCATGTTTGTTTGTTTTTTACGTGAAGCGGGGCTTGAGCTCACCCGGTGTGGGTCTTAAACTCACAAACCTTGAGATCATGACCTGAGCCAAAGTCAGATGCTTAATGACAACCACCCAGGCACCTGGACTCTTTATACTCTTAAATTTTATTGCAAACCCCAAAGAGGTTTTTTGGCTTTTGGTTTTTGTTCTTAATTTTTTTAAATTCAGTGTACCTTGGAAGGCCAGGTGTTCTTTTTTCTGTTTTGTGTTTGAGAGAGAGAGAGGATCCCAAGCAGGCTCTGTGTTGTGCAGGGCCTGACCTGGGGCTTGAACTCATGAACCAGGAGATCATGACGCGAGCCAAAATCAACTGGAAGCTTAACTGACTGAGCCACCCACATGGCCCAAGAGTTTTTTGTTTGTTTGTTTGTTTGTTTGTTTTTGAATATGGGTTATATCTGTTATTTTCTGAGTTAGAAATTAAAACTGAGAAAACCTTAAAAAAATTTTATAAGTTCACTTTAAAATAATAATAAACCTATTGTATACTAACATAAATAATATTCTTGTGAAAGATAACTGTTTTTCTAAAGCAAAATAATATTTGGTGAGAAAACTTGTACTATTTTGCATTTTTTGAAATGTCTTAATGTATAGCTTTAAAAAAGACAAATGGATCCTCACATTGGCTTCTATATTCACTTTGTTGCAATAAGTTCTTTGGTTGAAGTATATGTTTAAAATCTGGTCTCAGAGATTTTGAATATCATGGGTAGTTGGGAAAAGTCGTTTTTTTTTGTTTTGTTTTGTTTTTGATGAGATACAAACAATTCATATACCATAAAATTGACCTTATAAATAAGTGTACAGTTCAGTAGATTTTAGTATATTCAGTGAGTGCTGTAACTATCACTGATAACTAATTTCAGAACTTTTATATCACCCCGTGAAAAAACCCATTAGCAGTAACTTCCCTTCCCCCTTCTCCCCATTTCTTGGGAACCACTAATCTACTTTTTTTAAGGAGGAATATTTAGAAAAGCAGTTTTAGATAATTGTGAATTTTGGTATTACACCAAAGTTGAACAAGTTGTAGTTTGTTGAATGTAGTTTGTAATGGGGAATCTAGAACCATATCAGTGAATTTTATTTTACTCTACTGCAGTAAAATTTGTTGATGTGGTATGAGATGTCTGTTTCTAGCTATGATGGTGTAATAAGGAGATAACCCTTTCTCCTACAAAAATCAATAAAAAGAAAGAAAGAAAAATAACACTTTCTGGACATGAGGCAACAAATGAAAGCAATCCTTTAGAAATAAGAAACAGATAAGCTGTATGATTGCCTCACCTTATATAGCCTTGAGAGAGTTTTCAGTCTGTAACATAGGGAGGAGGAGCTGAGGTAGAGTCTGGCAGACTCTTTGTGTTTGAGTGTCCAGGAAGACCAGTTTAGCTAGAATGTGTTGGACAGAATTCCAGAGAGGGGAGAGCTCCACAGAGAACTCTGGAGATCTGTAGAGGGTTCCCTTAAATTTAGTGTTCTGCAGAGTACTGATCAGGGCACATGTATGAGGAAACTATCTGAGGTCGGGAAAGAACCATCTGAAAGATTAGAGGGAGTGGTGCCTGGTGCCCATAAGAGGTAGTAATGTGTCTGTTCTTAAAACTGTAGTGGAGAAGCTTGTAATTCATGGGCACTAAATACAATAGTCAGGAAATTGTTGCTTCAGTAATGGAGAACTATTAGTACTAGACTGAACACTGCTCCCAACCCACCTAACAAAGAAAAAGCAAGGCCTGAAAGATCTTGTAACTAAATTGTGTCCCAGAACAAAGTTCAAGAAAATTTATAGGATCACAAAATGTCTAGCACCTGAAAAAGTCAAATTTACAATATCTGATGTTCAATCAAAGATTAATTGACATGTAAGGAGGCAGGAAAACATCAAAAATGAGGAGAGTAATCAGTCAAAATTGAGCAAGAACTGTTTTTTTTTTTAAGGATGATTTTAGGCTGATTATTTTTTTAAAGTTTATTTTTTTATTTTGAGAGAGACAGAGACAGCGTGAGGGGAGGGGCAGAGAGAGAGAGAGAGAGAGAGGGAGAGAGAGAGAGGGAGAGAGAGACTGAGAATCCCAAGCAGGCTTCAAGCTGCCTGCACAGAGCCTGACACCAGGCTCAAACTGGAGAAACTGAGATCATGACCTGAGCCAAAACCAGGAGTCAGATGCTTAACCCACTGAGCCACCCAGGCGCTCTAAACGATTTTTCTTTATGTAGATTACTTTTGTTGATGTTTTCAGAATTAGAAATTAAAAGAAATTGATCTTTTATTCACTAAAAATAATTAAACCTATTGCATATTAAGTAATATTTTTCTTAAAAATTTTTTTAAATGTTTAGTCATTTTGACAGAGAGAGCATAAGTGTATGTGTGCAAGCGGGGGAAGGGCAAAGAGAGATGGGGAGAAGAATCCCAAGAAGAGTCCAAGCAGGGCTTGATCTCTGGAACCATGAGATCATGACCTGAGCCAAAATCAAGAGTCAGACGATTAACCAACTGAGCCACCCAGGTGTTCCTCTACTTTTCTCTTAAAGTAACACTCCTCATTATATTTAGGGTCTACATGGATTATCCAGGATAGTTCCCTCATCTGAAGATCTTTAGCTTAATCCCAGCTGTATACTCTCCTTTTTTGCTTGAAAAGTTAACAATCACACATTCCAGGGATTAAGATGTGGGTATCTTGGGGTAGGGGGTAATATTCAGCCCACCGCAGCCATAAACTATAAAGCCACTATTAAAATGACAAAGACATATTGCTAATAAAGCAACAAAGGGGATAAAATGGATTTACAAACAAATACTTAAAGAAGGCAGAAAGAATTAATGGGTAACAAAAGAACAGATGGGATGAATACCCAAATGTATTCGTGTAAATTGTCTCACTACCCAGTTAAAGGGTAGAGATTGTTGGGGCGCCTGGGTGGTTCAGTCGGTTAAGCGGCCGACTTCAGCTCAGGTCATGATCTCGCGGTCCGTGAGTTCGAGCCCCGCGTCAGGCTCTGGGCTGATGGCTCAGAGCCTGGAGCCTGCTTCCGATTCTGTGTCTCCCTCTCTCTCTGCCCCTCCCCTGTTCATGCTCTGTCTTTCTCTGTCTCAAAAATAAATAAAACGTTAAAAAAAATTAAAAAAAAAAAAAGTAGAGATTGTCAATCAGCCTCCCCTGATTGACATTTATAGACTGATCAGACAGTAGCAGAAGTGCCCAGATTGTTTACCAAGAGAGGCCATATTCTGGGATATAAAACATATCTCAATAAATTCAAAAGGATTCAACTCATTCAAAGTATGTTCTCTTGCCATCATGGAATTAATTTAGATATTAACATACTGTATTTTGGAAATCTGAAATATTTGGAACTTAACACATTTCTAAATAACTCTGGATCAAAGAGGAAATCATAAGGGATTTTTTAAAAGTATTTTGAACAACAAAAAATATTTTGAACCAAATGAAAATGAAAGCATATTAGGATTTGTAGTGTGCTGCTAAAGTAGTAAGTAGAGGGAAATTTATAGCAATAAATGCCTATATACAGTTGACCTTTGAACAGTATGGGTTTGAACAGTGCAAGGTTTGAACTGCAGGTTCATTTATACACAGATTTTTTTTCAATAAATACAGTAAGTACAGTATTGTAATTGTATTTTCCTTACCTTTTTCTTAACATATTTTTTAGCTAACTTTGTTGTGAGAATATAGTATATAATACAAATAGCGTACAGAATACACTTAATCAACTGTTTATGTTATTGGTAAGGCCTCTGGTCAACGGTGGTCTATTAAATTTTGGGGGAGTCAGAAGTCATACATTTTTGACTGTGTGGGGATCAGGGCCCCTAACCCCCCGCATTGTTGAAGGATTAGTTGGTAAGTGAAAAGCAGAAAGGTTGCGAGTCAGTGATCTCAACATCTACTTTAAAAAACTAGAGAAAAGAAAAACAAGTTAAATGGGAGGTAAGCTGAAGAAAGGAAATTACAATAAAGATCAGAGCAGAATGCAATGAAATAAAAATTGAAAAAGCAATAGAGAAAATCATTGAGATGAACACAAAATTAGACTAAACCTGCATGATTGTGAGACTTACAGTAAAGCTACAGTATTAATATAGCATAGTATTAACATAAGGATAGAAAAATTCATCAATGGAATATACCACGTTCAGAAATAAACACATAAGCACAACTGATTTTTGATACAGATGCAAATGTAATGCTGTGGAGAGAGTATAGTCTTGGTCCTTGAACATTTGGATATCTATATGCAAAGAACATAAACTTATA